TGTATGTACACAAAGCACCGCTAATTAGTTCGTAACGCTCACATCGACACTACTGTCATTTACACAATGTACATGTGTGGGTAATTTCATATTACTGTGTATAAAAATATTCGTCCACCACGTTCACATTGGTATTTTCATTCTTGTGTCGGTATACGTATTTTTATAATTTAATGCATGGGTAAGGTTAAAACTATTTACAATCATTGATATGACCCGACATTTTCACTGTAATTATCGTAGTGCTCGTGGTCGATTGGTTAATGAGTACGCTTTTATCGTCTTTCAAGGATCAATGATGATGTGGGTTCTATTCCAGCTAAAAGTTTTTTTTTATTTTACCTTGTTGTTTTTCTTATTTATTTTTTTTTTGTTTTTTGTCATATAATATAAATATCAGGCTATAAAAGAAGCAAATCAGTCGGTAAATAAAACAATACTATTTTTTATTAAAATTAATTTATTAATTATACAAATATGTGGTTTTATATTCAATATTTATATCTAATAATTAATTATATACCACATGTTAACTTTAAAGTTCTTCCAATCATTCTAAATTATTCTAAATAATAAATAACTAGAACTAAAATATAAATAAAGGATATTATAGGTATAAATAAATCTAAAGTATTTACTATTAAAATTAACATAAGATTTAGAAAAATAGGATAGGAAAAAAAGAAAAGATTTAATTGTTTCTAATTTCACATTTCAAATATTTGATTAATTAATACTAAAACAACATGTGAATGCTGGAATCGATCCGGTGGCACTTTACTTGACCACTGGAGGCGATAACCATTGCGCCAAGCGCGCCGTAGATGAGAACATCGAAATATTGTATATCATTCAGTAACATAAAAATACAATGAGAATGCACTATATTTATATAAGTATTGTATTGCTCGATCGTTCATTATTTTTGATTTCGATTTATTCAAAGTTTGTTATGAGTATTTTTATCTTTACCCTCGTTTTTATTTAAACTTATTTACTAAAATATTACGTATACCGACACAAAAATGATATGTAATACCAAGATGTGTGTGATAGAACGATAGTTTCTATACATATCTATTAATATGAAATTACCCACACATGTTCACTGTGTAAATGATAGTAATGTCGATGTGTAGCGCCTCGAACTAATTAGCGGTGCTTTGTGTACATATTTAGTACGTAGTTTGCGTGAATATTAATAAATTAATTATCCTAAGTGTTTAAAATTCCTTGTAATCAAATTCTGATACGCTCTTTTCTCATTGTACCTAGTTAGTAGACATAAATTTGTTTTTATTTTCATAATAGAACAACATCAATATCTACATACTTTTTTTAACCATAGAGCATGGAACTCGCACCTTTTTTATGCAGTCACTTGAGACCGGACAAAGGTCATGACTGTAACGCTAGTAGTCTGATGAAAGTAATAGTGGTGTATCTGATGATGGTCTGAGTTCTGCCGACTGCTGTCAGCTACCGCGGCTGAGAGTGGCGAGGGCTCGCCGGGCTCGAGTTACTGAGCGCGGACAGGGAGCTTGCGCGCTTCATGCTGTTAGGAAAAACATAGCATCAATGCGTGTACAGAAAAAAGCAAGATGACAGTTAATTTAAAATGGTTAATTTTGCTTTTAATAACACAATAGGGCTGTTCAAATGTATTTTATTACTTAAAGCGTTATTTGTTAGTTTATTTATTTCTCATAGGTAAATCATATTTGGAGAACAGAAAAGGGGTACTAAACTGAAATGAACATTAAGAAAAGTAAACTGGATATTATGAAACAATCAAAAATGAGGAAATTAGCGACATCTGCAGGCAACATGTAGATTCAAGTAAAAATTCAAGTGCATTTTTATTAGGTTACTTTAAAACTTATTGACTTTTCTAGTGTTTGCAAATGATGACATCAGTGCAACACACTGTATGTGCAAAATAACAAATCACAATTACCTGATAGTAATTAAATATCTCCTTATCCATATTTCTGCAAGTTTTCGAATAAAAATACCACACACCATAGGAAAATATTAAGCCAAATTGTAAGCGGAGGCAGTAGCAAGCATATTGAGCTTAGCTTGCGAAGATATTTTACAAAAATATTTATTCCAATTCTATCACAATATTGGCATGTAGATCATTCTTTACCCAATTTTTGAGAGGGATACTTTTCAATTGTGGAATGTTTAGTAGTTTTTTATAAGTTGTCATCATGGTGGCTGCATTGTGGCGTTGTTACCTTTCAGGGTCAGTGAAGTCTACGTCGGTTGGCAGGTGGGCGGAGTGTCGGCCCGCGAGCCGACTGAACAGTCGCGCGGAGGACCGCCTCAACGACTCGCGCAGTTTCGAGAAACTGGCGCTGCGAGACACCGCGCATTCCTGCCCCCGTGTTATGCAATTTACACTCCAGTTTGTTCAAAATAATATGAAGATATTGTTGATGGTTAGTTGTATTCTGATTTTATCCAGACTTTGATAGGGTCTTTTTTATTATTTTGAAAAAGAAAGGAGTTTAATTATTAGGCTGTATGAATCAATACCTTTGTCAGAGGAACATCAAACAGATATGGCGGGAAATGAAACTACATGACAGAGAGATAAGTGTAGGTAACTAGTATGTAGGACAGAAGTGATATAATGGGATTTACAAAACATTAAATAACAGTGAATGAGATGCCACCATGCATCTACTCTAACAGCAAAAGCCGTTATAAACAAAGTGTCTGTGTATTCTGTTCGTTCGTTTGTCATGCGTCATGTTTGCGTTCGTGGGCTATAAATTGCATAACACTGTAGACTCACCTTCATCCGAAATAAAAATAAATAAAACCAAAAATAATGTTACATAAATTATATTTATTAACAATTTTTATAATTATCATTCGACGTATCGAGACAATAAAAAAATAATTCTCAATGCTGTGACATGGCGGTTATTAGAGGGAGATTCTTTGAAAAACTGTTAACGTTATGCCGATATTGTAATCTAATGTACATAAAAATAATCCACATTTCAAGCACCCCCATAGTTTAAAAGAAATTCAGTGTATATAAAAATACTATAATTATAATAATTATATTACCTACTCTCACATAAAGCTTAGATCGATATACGCTAACACTGGAATGAAAGTTAAGCATAAAATTACTGATGATGGTGACAACACATGACTTGTAAACAGATGACACGGCTCGACTCAACCGCTTGTAAATAATGTTAATATAAACATAAATTGTCGCAAATATCCCGCGTAAATATACGTTGCGTACATTCCCATATTGTGTTATGGGTAGACATATTACAACATTGAATGATTTAAAACTAGATATACCCTAAGATTGTGTTTGAAACTACGCTTTCCCTAGGTTGAGTAAAGCCAGACGCTCACAATAATAAAATTCACATTCATGCATTCTTCTTGTCAAAGAAGACACATCAATAAACATACAATCAGTAAATTAAAATTGATATTGTAAGCGAATAAAATCGTTGTTTAAACATGCGCAAATTAATTATTAATAAAATAAAAAAATGTAATAATGATATTTATATAAATATTTCAATGATTTATTAAATGCAAAATTCAGCTTATAAATTCTCATAATATATTTTTAATACATTTTATATGACCAACGTTAGTTTAATACGTTTTACTAGATAGCACAGAAACATGCACCATTAAAATTATAATTACCGATTTGATACTTATGAGTTGGTTATATAAAATGTATTCCAGCAACAAATGACTTAGCGTCACCATGTAAAACAGCATACACGCGCCGTCTTAGTACTTTATATGTATGCATAATTATAATATTGTATACTACAGCGTGACGGCTCACTGGCATGCTCCTATCACACGTTCATTTGTAATTTATATTTTTTTATATTTTTTTTTAATATCTTTTATTTTTACTAAAATTATATCGCATGCTAATAAATAATACTAAGCTACTACACGAACATTTTGAACTTGTTGTGATAAAATGCTTTCATTTGAATAAAACTTAATCAATAATCATGGCTTGGGCCATTGTAAAAATTGCATTTTTGTTTAAACAAGAAATTCAAAATGTCGGCAATTTAAGTGTGTGACGCACTTGATCCTTTATAGTGAGCGGACATTAGTCTTGTGCGGGGTGTAGGCAATGGTTTTCTGGTGCACCTAATTAACTGGTCATTTTTAGGTATCAGCCAGTACAATCAACAAAATCTATCGAACTGACAAATAAGGATATAATTCGTTATCCTCCCAAAACTTTCAAATCAAGGTTATTATTATCAAAATTGGCATAATTCTCAAAGTCCAGTTAACATCTCCGAAGACCACTGCTCACACTCTGCGACAGTTTGCAAGGACCACGTGCGTGAAGCGAGTGACAACTTATATCTAGTGTATTTCTACGTGGCTGGTGGCTAGTAGCTACTGGTGCGGCGGATTGCTCCCAGTGTTGATGCCTAGCGCATTGAACAGCTTTGACTTAAGGTTCATGCGTGGTTCGCTCGCTTGGTTCGCGCCCTATAACGGAAAAACAAACAAAACAAAATAATATAATGTGCAAACAATAAAATAATAAAGTGTTTTTGTGTGTAAAAAGCTAAAGGAACGTTAGTGTGTTTTCCCCAACTTGTGTGTGCTATGAAAGTGGGTGTATTTAGTTTTATTGCCAAAGTGAAATTAATTTTCAGTCAAGATGGAATCAAACTTGACTGGACAGTCTGGTCTACCCACATAAACCACCAAAAGTAGCTTGTTGATGTATGCTAACTGTATTTTATTAGCACCACAAAATTTATTTGGAATGTATTTCATAAATTGATGGTTCGTATTCATATAATAACATTTAACATATGTGAGACATGCGTTTTCTATTGTGTCTCACATGCCGTCAGATAAAAAGTTAAAGTTTCATTCAGTACTTGACGACAAAGTTAATTTTATGAATGACTCAAATCAAGATAAAACCCACACTTTCATATTAAACATTAAAGTGCAATAACATAAAACATAAAAGTAGATCAAGAAAAAAAACCCCACCAAAAATAAAGTGTAAAGTACTTATAAATATAAAAACAAACAAAAATATAAACAATAAATAAACAAGACATAACATAAAATGTATGAAATAATGTAATAAATGAGTAGATAAAGCTTCGATGTATGTATTTGCAACGCTGCCCAATGAGTTACAACATGTACATGTATGGTTCGGATGAGCGAATGAAAGGTGGCCGGGAACATAATATCTAATATCCTATCGATATTCTAATAAGACTAGCAAGCGTACCCGTGAAACTCGTTTCATAACCTTAAAACCGGTTCTAGCTTTGTACTTTTCATACATTGTAAACAAAACTCGAATCTGGAGTTATGTTGAAAATATAAAACAAAACCATAAATTCTTTGATAATGCTTAGAAAAAAGAATATTTAACGCAAATGCTTGGTTAATGTCTTTACGTTTGTCGTTGACCAAAAATATGTGAATATGAGCAGACCAGGTGTAATCGTGGTGGCCCGGAGGATTCGAACGAAACCTACCAACGGCAAGTACCAATGTGACTTTTTCCGAGTTTTATGTACTTTCTAAGATTATTTAGACACCACTGACAAACGGTAAAGGAAAAACATCGTGAGGAAACCTGGACTTATAATTTCTAATTATAAGTTTGAAATCGCAAACTCGCAATGAGCAAGCGTGGTGATTAATGCTCAAACCTTCTCCGTGTGAGAAGAGGCTTTGCTCAGCAGTGGGCACTCATAGGCTGTTGATGATGAGGTGTCTACATGAATCTACACCATTATAAGATTATCATTTGCCTAAAATAGTTTTTCCTAATGACTATCCTATCTCCCGCAGGTTGATTAAGAGCAAAAATCTCCGCTGGACATGCGCAGTATGAAGCTGCAGAAAATGGCGTGATGTGCGAGACGATACAACATTGACACCCAGTGCATCAACCCAACCAATCAGTGAAGGTGGCTTTGTTTCAGAAGTTGTACTTTTTCATGCTTTATTTGACCCATTGAACGAAAAATCGTTTCTATGTATAATTTTGAGTTTTTGGTAGCTTAATATTAGGTACTTAAGACAGGAAATGAGAACGACCAATCCAAATGAGTATGAAAGCTACCATAAACTTGGACTATACAACATATTATACAAGTTCCTCTTATATTTTGAGAAGGTTCATTTACACTATTTTATAATGAACTTTTTGCGGAACATTCTTACTTACGAATCCCTTCTCAAAATATACCACGAATTTCTATAATACGTGACGCAACTGGAACGCAAAAGCAACACGAACAGTCTGCGACAACGTAGTAAAGGCGAGCCAATTACAAGACAACCACAAGAACAAAACATCGCGATATCAAAGTGCAGTATTCCAATCCGTGCCCCCTACCCCAGCCCAGTGAGTAACTGCTGTACTCAGAGACATTTCATGATTACTTAAACTATTCCTTAGTAACGATTTTGTTCAGTGCCAAGCACGAATAACTATCGCGCTCTGATTGGTTGGTTCACTGAAGCCGGCCAATCAGAACGCCGAACGCGCTCGATACTATTACGTTACGAATGCGATAGTTATTCGTGCATGGGACTCTGGAAACAATTGCTAAGGACTGGATTAAGTATTTAAATGAGTCTGAGTACGGCGGCAAGCATGTAAAGCAAGGCCGGTGCCTACGAGGCAGGTAGTGGGCCGCTGAGGCTGACCTCGTCGTGGTGGTCTTGGTGAGGCTCCATGGCGTCGCGGCTGCCGTGCCGACCGCCTCGAGCCCGCGACTGCTTCACGATGTCCAAAGCCTACACGTGCCAATGTCTATTAGCTCAGGTTTTTAATTTTAAAGTTGTACTACGTTTCTCTCATATCGAAAAGAATAATAATAATTATTTTTTTAAACATTTTAAAATTCGATAACAATTTGATATAGGAGCAACTTCCTATTTGTAAGAAAAAAATGTCGTTTCTTTAAACATACGTAACGAATTTCCTATACAACTCATTGATAAATTAATAATTTCGAAAAAAAAAAATCATTTCGCCAATTCTCAGCCACCTGAAAAATCTTCAATTTTGTAAGCGATTACTTGTTAATTAGCTTTTGTTCGTGACTTACTTGCTGTACGTGCTAGGCAGCGTGCAAAATGAATTATTTGTACGTTAAATTGTGCTAAATGTTATTAAACTATACTTCATAAATATATATTTTCATGTAACGGACTAATAAGTGAAATAATTCCCACATTATCTAGTAAATGACTGCATAGACTAGTCAATGTGTATGTCCATTACATGTGTGCGTGTTGTAAGCATATAGAATCGTGAAGGTAAGAAAAACGTATAAATAAATAGTTATTAGATAAAATATAGTTTAGCTTTCGTAGAAGTTACTAATTACTAAATATTATAATAATAAAACCCATTCTAGAATAAAAAGTGCTACATTATTCACTGAAGTGTAACCAAGTTAAATCACAAATCCTGAAATACTTTGATAGCTATCGTGCATACAAACTCACACAGTGTTGAAATGTGTAAAAGAATTAACAACTTCTTTAAAACCCATATATTAGTACACTCCTTTCAAGTATGTCGCCTACTTAGGAACCAAATAGCTTAAGAATTAAAAGAAAAAAATAGAACCTTAGTAGTTTTCACAATACTGTTGTTGTATATCATCAAGTTCGCATCTAACTCGAAGCATTGCTATTTTTTTAGTCCATATAAGAAACACTATTTCACATTCTTTCCATAGTGTAGCACAATAGAAATTCAGACGCTAATTTCATTAATAACATGTTATTGTTCGTCGACGTAATAAATATGAATATGAATTCCTCATCACAATTTACCCATTATGAATATACGTCGATACATTATTGAGTAGGCGACATTTCCCCATTATTATTATCGTAATAAAATCTATTTTTATTATTTATCTACAGGCTGCAATATTTACCTCCTTCCGGCTGCGGAGCGCGCAGTCTTCGAGCGTCTCAGCGGCTTCGTACTTGCCCTGGCGCCGGTAGAGAGCGCCCAGGTTCTTCAGCGTCGTTGTCACTGTTGGGGAGTCCACCTGGAGACATAACACATTATTAAGGTAAGTCTTCTTATTTGCATTACTGCTTTTTAATTCTATACTAATTTTACATACGTGGTGTGGATAGTTTTCATATGTAATAACTATATTTAGATACGTAAGTTGGAATTGATTTTTCAATAGTTTATCATTACATCAAAATGCACCAAACACAAGTCACCAATACACCAAAGTTTATATAAATAGTAATAAATCTTATGTCTTTAAGGCATATTGGGTTACGTCAATTTTTACCTAATACAGAAGCGCGTTTCACAGCTGCGTCTTCAAAAATGTCCCTTTATACTATAAGAGAAGATAAACTGACCTTGGCAGCCTTGTGCCATCCTCCATATTCTCCATACGGAGCGTTTTCCTTCTGCAAGTGTTTGTTCTCCTCGCGTTCCTCGGCCACCTGCCAGATGGGCTTGTTGTCGCCTGCAAACATATTTAAAACGAATATAAATACACCACCAAAACAAACAAAATTATGCATAAACAGAATTCAGATTTCTGAAGCCCTAAAACTCGATACATGTTTTAATTCCCAAAACCTTAGAAGGCCAATCAAGAAAGAGAAGAAAAAAAAACAAAAAAGCCATATTAATATTAATAACATGATAAGCCAAAACCAAACTTATTCTATATAAATGTGACACAAGTCGGGAAGGTGTGACACACTGGCAAAAGACGTTTACAAATAAAACCAACATAAAGAAAAAAAAAAATAAAAAAAATACATTAAAAAAATAATATGTTCTTTGCCTTTCCTACCTGTGCCACACAGTATCCGAACTTGTGTCACTCACCTAAGGTATGTTTTCGTACAAATATCTTGTCAACGCATCAACTTGGCAGGCATATTTAGTTGCTGCTGAGGTATTACAGGGTTGGGAGGAGTGTAGAGACAATAAGGAGGTACTATTGAAGATTTAAGTTCTCGTTTTCAAATATTAAGTACTAATTAGCTACTCGAAATTATCGGTTAAGCTCTGTAGCCCAGTTAGACAGTAAGCTTTACGATATTTAATATTGAGACGTAGATCATAATCATAACCATGTAGCAAATGCTGCTGGGCAAAGGTCTTTTCGATTTTGTTTTTATAAGGCGTTGCTCCACTTCTAGGATATTCTCCTATGTCGTAGGTGTGCGCATTATATACAATATACAAAGTTTCTTTAAGTGTAATAATTTACATTTCTAGATGTAGCTTCTTATTCTCCCTACACTCAACAGAATATGACAAAATAAACAAAACAATTTAAGATTTCATTTAATATAAATAAATATATTGTTTATAAAATTATTGCACACTACATAATAATTCAGAGCCTCGTACATTTGGTAAACAGGCATTTATTTGGCATATAAATTTTTATAGAAATCAACTTCTATTTTGGTTTTAAATTCATATACTTAATGTGATATTTATGTATATCTTCTAAGCGTATATGTGTATGAAAATGAGTAAGTTTAGTTTATTATATCGTTTAACAAAATATTCACAAGTTGTATTGCGCACTTTACTTCAAAACTTAAATGAAATATAATAATTATTGTGCATATATAAAATAAATAATTCAGTTCTTAACTCGTCGAGTACCGTCATTATAGACACATTTATAGAATAATAGGTTGCGGTCACCGGTGACCGCTTGGTGTTTGACAGTTTAAGACAAAAATGTAGTCTAACATAGTCTTTATGGCTTTTGCATTAATGCCTGTAATTTGCTTATTTAGAACTTGTTTCTGTATGTTTGATTTTAGAAGTTATTCCACAGAACTAAGGTTGCATTTTTATTGCAACAAAAATGTTCTCAATGTAATTCTTATATTAAATTTTAAATCACAGAGAATAGATAGAGAATAGTAACATCGACATTCATATTCATGTCAAGAAAGACGTAATAGAAAAATAAGTAATAATTACAAAAATATATCTAATAAACCATTGTAAGGCAAGTAAATGACACACTATGGAAATTATCCAATCGTCGAAATTCCCTTGGTACTCAGCAAAGGCAACAGAGATTGTCAAATTGGATGAAAACAATTCTTGATACTGTGACTTATGACATTCACAGTCAAGAAACTAAACTATGTATGTATAGTCCCCGGCACGAACCATGGCCAGAGCGCCTAGTTCTGTATTACATAAACACGATCGACACATTTATGACGTTCAGCACTCTGATTGGCTGTTCCAAGTCAACCAACCAACCAGCCAAGGGGTTAAACGCAGTAAGGCTTCGATAGCGTAAATGTAAAAATACTTTGCACTAAGCACTCACACCCTTCGTAGTAGGAGTAATTTCGTGCATTGTGTATTTTCTCATTATTTTATTACTGGTTACTTTAGTTTAAATCATATCTATTTGTAAGGAAATCAATGTAAGCATAAGAAAAAAGAATTGGTATTGAAACTAAAATATACAACGTGCGAATTTACCGTTACCATGAAAAATGTAGCCATGATTCGGGCCGTGTGTTATACATAATTATGTAACTAATATATTATGCCTATCACGCAAGAAGCTTTCAGCTTTACAAACTAATAGTAACCTTTTTTTTATTTCTTTGATGGCAAGATATAAATTTATAAAGCGTCTACAAGATAACCTAATATTGTCTAAGACAAATGCATATAAAGAGATCTATACAACAAAGAAAAATTCATAGAAAAATATCTAATTATAAATCTATTTTTACTAGACGCAAAAAAATTGAATAAAATCCGGACTAAATTGCTATAAAAATATTTCATATAAATTGTATTTCAAATAATTTTTGCGTCGAATAATAATAAGTCCACTAACTAATTGCATGCCTCCACTACCTATGAATTAAATCGAATTTTTACTAAGTAAAATTGAAGAACAATTTCAATTCATAAAATGTACAAATAAATTAATTACAAGAAAACAAAATAATAGCAAATAAAATAAAAAAAAAAACATGCAATGTTTTTGTATTTTTTTTTGTTTACTATTTACACATTCGAGCCATTCCATTAAAAAAAATGGTATAGAAAAATAAACCTTATTAGCTTATAAAATAATACATTGTTACTCAGCAAAACTTTGTGCTTTGGTTTCATTATTATATAGATAACCTTTCACCGATTGCACCAAAAGAATGACAAAAAACAAGCATATTTGTGTAGTTAACACTGTACTTATAAGTTCCGTTCAGTTTTCAATCACAACATAGTTTATAATAGTTGATTTATACTGTCCCGATGTATGCTTAGATATTTAAAACCTCGCAACGGAGTTTGATGCCGTTTTTTTAATAGATAGTGATCCAAGAGGAAGGTTTATATGCATGATAACATTGTACACCATGTCTGTGTAAAAAATAAAAATGTGTATGTTTTTTTTGTCATTCTTTCGATTAGTAAAATATATTAGAATGGAAACCATTTCAACAGTTTATATTATGCTATAGGAATGTTGGAGTAGTATATTATCTTCTGCCAACTTTGTTAGTTTATCTTAAAATTGTCATATACTATGTGCAGCTGTTTGTTATTTTTTATTAGGTTTTTTTAATGATGCTATATACTCTGAAATGGTAAAACAAAATATAAAGTCAATTTATAGGCGGGTAAATAGCAAAAGACAAAGTTATGTATCCAAAATAAACATATTTATCTATAGTCAGAATTTTAATTAGATTCCAGATTTGACAATAGCTACTGTCATTTTGTGAAATAATGATACCACATATAATAGTGTCGTGATGAACACAAAAATCAATAAACAATCAGTGTGTGTGTTTTATAATAAATGTTACAGAAAGTGACAGGATAGCTATAGCGATGACGGCGAAAATTTATAAAATAACTTATTATCATAATACATCTATCTGTTTTATTTGTCATGTTCCTTCATGATTACATTTTTTATTTATTTCACACACAATTATAAAATAAAAGTCTATTAATCGTCAAAACTAAATTATCGGTTCAGAAATATTTAATTTCCTGATATACTTAGTTTACGAGAGTAAAATTATAAACGAGAAGAATCGATCCAGAAATATTGCATTTCCATATCAAATAATTTCGCAACTTCATTATTTAGTCCTTGTCATAACGTTGCAACACTGAAATTGTCAAATCCGGAATCGAATTAAAATTCCGGGTATAGTAAATTAACTTTAAACGTTCAAATATAATCTTCATGCGGGTATAACTAAAAACTTATTCAAGAACAGCTTTCAAATTATTATTCTACTGCCATGTTTTTACATTTTAACATATGTATTAGATTTCTAGAATGTTTATAAAAATAAAAGGTCCTATCACCCAGTAGAATAATAGCTTTAGTTCCAAATAGAATACTTGATGCATGCCTAAGCAATATCACTCGCTGACCAACTGTATTTTTTCTTAACATCATGTTAGAAAGAACAATATTTAAACTATCTGCTAAATATTTAATTAGGCTTAGATACGAAGTTTTAGACATATATTTATTTAGACTTACCGTCGATAGTTCCGAATTCCCGCTCGTGTGCCCGGGTCAGCACCTGTTTGTATAACGTTTCTGCTTCCTTGTACTTGCCCTGAAATGACCAAAATGACACGAACGTTATTTTCTTTTCAGAACTAGACTAGGCCAACGGACAAGCAAGGAGTAACTGTGATTTCGGTGTGGAGTTCGAAATTCGAATTATGCCGATAAAACAACTATGACATGTAAGTATGACCGTTAGGTCAAATGTATGTTAATACATATTTAAACATTTTGACTGTCCCGAAAACTAAATACAACGCTATAACAAGTTTCAGATACAAAATCAATGTAGTATTTTGAAATTCTGTGTCCAAGGGGTCGAGTACTACTAAAGCAGCAAAGCAGTAACTTTTGCAAGCAAAAAAGCAGCTCCGCTTTAAACAAATCATTTCATTTTGAACCATATTCCTAGATACATATGTTTTCATTTTGTTTTTCTTTTTATTACATAAGCCAGTAAACGAGCAGACGGATCACCTGATGGTAAGCAATCGGCGTCGCCCATGGACACCTGGAACACCAGAGGCATTGCAAGTCGTTACCGGCCTTTTGGGGATTAGGAGTTTGAGGATGGTTAGGGATTCAGGAATTGGGGAGATTGGGGAAGGGGAGGGTAATTGAGCCTCCGGTAACCTCTCTCACACGACGAAACAACGCAAGCGTTGCTTCACGTCGGTTATGTTTGTTACCTGTTTGAGATAGCAAGAGGCGAGATTGTTCTTAGTCTTGGCTACGTTGGGGTCATCGGGTCCGAGTTTGCTCTCGTAGATCTCCAGAGCGCGCTGGTAGTACTGCTCCACCTCCTCGTATTTATTCTGCGGATAACGAGTGCATTGTTAGATATATGACACCTGTAAGGAATGCGATCGTTCTGTATTTGAATGTGAAATAACTCTGTGTGTTGTCTTTTCAGATGGTGGAAGAAAGATAGGATGCGCGGCTCTGTACTATGGTATTTGACAACTAGTCAAATTCAATACTTTTTTGACAATGTCAAAAACGACAGTTTTCTATGAATTTTGTACGAGTTTGTGAATTATGACGTCTCGTTTTTTTAGCATCAAACAGTGTACTTATTTGTTAAAACAATAGGGTAGTTTCCTAAATTTTATTTTAATGTCCGTCTGGTAGATTATTTTAAAACATTAGACACGTACCTATTTTTTCTTTTCTCACAAAATTAAACGCTTTCGACGATATATTGATTTGAATTCGTGTGATGTCACAACGTGCTACAAAATGTATATACAAAATGACGTAACTACCTCCCACTCCTAAACTTAACTCCATTTTATCTAAGTATTGTAACTTTATACGAGTTAATAAAAAATACGTGTCTAATATTTTTTCATTATCTAACTGACGGACTAATTAGATTTTTAATTTTCTTATCCTGGAAACTACTACTACTATTGCTGGAAAAATACTAAAATTAAGTTGGTCATATATTCAATTAGTCAGTGTGATTATTTTAAATATTTTATTGTATTGTAAACTCGAAATAAGTTATTTTTGATTAAGGAAAGTATCGAATTGGGACGCTGAGGAAAGTAGCGGCATGGACAAATTACGTGTTTGGAGCTCAGTTCGTTGGAAGAACTAGATTCTAAGGTAAGAATAATAACTTTCATAACACTATATTATTCTGATTGTCCACTTGAAACATCCTTCTGAACTTTAAACTTTTCTTAGTAGCAGTTATTGGTAGTAGTTGTATGCTATACGGTACCTGGTTCTGACAGAGCAGCGCGAGGTTGTTGAGTTGCTTGGCGACGTCGGGGTGGTCCCGGCCCAGCACGGCCTCGCGGATACACAGCGCGCGCTTGCACAGCGGCTCGGCCTCGCGGTACTTGCCTGTACAACACAAGTTTTATATTATTTAACTCGTTGAGTACCGTCATTATAGACACAATTATAGAACAATAGGTTGCGGTCACCGGTGACCGCTTGGTGTTTGACAGTTTAATGGTTAAAAACAGAAAATATGAAAAACCTACAACCCTTTTTGTGGGGAAATACTAGGGAGCGTGGGAATTCTTATCTTACTAAAACCAACCCAGTGACCATCATCAGCACCACACCAAATACTCTGAAGATACAAAGTCCGGAGTTCCCACGGTGCAACACCTCTTACGGCATCTCCTACCTTCGGGTTTAATTTGTAAATAGAGATCCTACAGTAGTTTTAGTGAAGTAAGAATTCCACACTTGGTGTCTTTCTCTCCAAAAAATAACGCACTTGTGAAAAACGCGAAATCAATGATTCCAAAGTGTTTAAGTTACTTACTAATGTCTGTTCATGGATAATATGTAAGAAATATAATTAGTCTTTTACACGGTTTGAAACTATTTATGTGCAGGTAATACTGACCTCGCTTGCCGTAGAGCACGGCGAGGTTGTTGAGCGTGGCTGCGACGGCGGGATGGTTCTCTCCGAGCGTCTTCTCGCGGATAGACAGAGCATCGTTCAGCAGATTGGCCGCCTCCTTGTACTTGTTCTGGTCTCTGGAGAAGTAGGTACAAAATGAATATTTATCAAGGTTATCAAATCTAAACTACTCGTTCTGAATCTAAAAGAAGCGATTAATTAGTTCCATCTTATATCACTACCAGATGTTAAGTCTATTATGTAATGTCGTATTAGGTAATTCGGACAACCACTCTGCTGCCTTCTATATAATAATAAAATAAAAACAAAAATTGTTTATTGTACAAAATTTCACAATATTACATTCACAGAAATGCGGCAATTACATGAACGAGTGTGAATTACGATCGATACTGACACTGCCCTCCAAACTAAGCTATAAGCTTGTATTTTGGAAAACAGTGATTCAGGCGTGGAGTATGTCACAAAGTCGCATTATATATCGCTCAATAATGAAGTGAATGTCATGAAAGTGAATTATTGAAGTGAATGGAATTGTAATCAAAAACAAAAATAATATAATATTAAAAACTACTAGAAAGCTAACGGACAAACCTCAGGAATAGAGGTATGGCCCGTTCATCTCCAAAAGTATGGTATAGGTATAAAGATATATAAATATATATATAAAGAGCTAGTAAAAAACAAAAGTTTTAATAACATAAATATTCCTCATTTCTAAGACTGAACTCGGATTTCCTTTAGCATAAGCAATCATTTAATAACTTGATTATTATTAGCCAATCACCATTTCTCCGATAAGTTTTGTGATCCCTGATTAGCGATTACTTCATCGTAAGTTGAATAAACTGATAAGGTTATCGTTAAGGTACAGTCAACTAGTTGTTACACTTTCCGGCCTTCTAGTATTAAGTTCTTTTGATAAAGTTAAGATACTTTTCGGAGTATATTTTATGCAATGCCCTTATAAAATAAAATACTAGACATGAAGACTATTCAAGGAAAGAAGACAATTGTGAACAAGGTCTATTCTTTTCAATTACCGAAATTAATAATGTCTATCTAAAGCTGTGGCTGAAGACAAAATAGATAATATTGAAAATATCAATCATACGAATTGATGTTTTGTAACAAATAAAATAAATGAAAATGTGTTCTCTCTATATTTTTGGACTTTATTGAACAACACAAGTTACCTGTATACAAGAGCGAGTATATTGAGCATAGTAGCGACATCAGGGTGATCATGTCCGGAGGTCTTCTCCAGGTCTTCCAGGGCCTGCTTACAGAGTGGCACGGCGACCTCGTACCGTCCCTGCGACGCGTACTGGATCACCAAGTTGTGCAGAGTGCGCAGGCGCGCCGGGATCTCGTAGCCCGCGTTCACTTGCTGGGCAAAGTGCAGCGGAGGCGTCGGGGACATCGCTGGGAGAGAAAGATGTTTTTGTTAGTGTATTTGTGTGTTATACATACAGTGATATATATATGATTAGTTTAAATGCATAACATGTATGTAAGAGCCACGAAAGAGCCAACTGCTCCCGTCAACACGTATCGGCGACAGTCGCTGTCGATTGTCGTTGAGATGTCGACGGCAGCAGTTGTCTCTGCCGTTGGCAATATCCCTCTGGCGTGTAAGAAATTTAAGTACTATAATATAATAATCTGTGATACGTAAAGTGTGATAAATCTGCCTAAAATATGTCAAGTTTGTATGTATTTTTTTGTAATTTAATGAAGTCTATTGAAGAAATTCTAATTGAGTTGTAATATGTTGTTTATTATAAAATGCATTGTTTCATTTTCGTATTAACATAATAAACGTAATAATATACCCACATAAGACAAAACTTAAGCTAATAATAATTATAGAAAACAGAGCTACACGCAGTAGTAGGAACCACTATACTACACCTACGCTACGTGACAGAATGTGCTGGCTTAAGCACGTGGTCTTGTTGTTTATGTAGTGTATTACATTATCTACTATATTTAGGTTATCGGAGTAGAAAATATGTTAGGACACAGTACAAATGCTCTCATATGTCGTTAAAAAGTACATATAGTAAAATAATTCTTGATTTGCTTCAGTAAATAAGATGACAAAAAATCACTCATGTATGAACAGGAGTAGAAAGCCTGTCAAGTAGCTGCTCTACGTAAAATATTAATAACAAACGTATAATTTTCTGCTAAAGGATTCTTTTGAGTTCAATACCCAGGTTGAGAAAACTTATGGAATTACGAAATGCGATATGTAACAAAAAGCATATTTATTTACGACAGAGTTACACCAGAATTTACTCATAGAAGTATTGAGTAATCTTTTTTAAAGAATGACTTACATTTGTTATTCCTGTTGTCGTCATGGTCGTCGTCCGGGAACAGGTCCACCATGGGATCGTCGCGTTTCTTCTCACTTTGTCCGCTGCGGTTCGTGTCCGACTCCTCCGTTATATCGCTGTCGTACTTGCTGAAAACGTACAAAAAAAACATACATAACAATACGCCTTGTAACCCCGAAGGGGTAAGCAAAGGTTGCACATTACGGCACTTAATGCCACTGTACAATGTAACACCCGATTTTCACTATTTATGTTATGAGTCCCATGTACCTAATACGGGGTGAGCATATTGCCATATACCGGACACATTTCTAGACTCCGTGCTACCACGGAGAATTTCTTTAAAAAAAGCCAGTAGTACTTTGCCCGACGCGGGAATCGAACCCGAGACCTATAGCCCGCACTTGCGACCACTCGGCCAACGAGGCAGACAAAAAAAAAACAATCTTATAATAAAATCGATACATACAAAAATATAATCGTGACGACTATTTCCTAGTGGGATACCTCAAAGACTATGAATGCCAAATGACCCGATTCTGATGGTTCTCTTTCACTTCATCTACATTTATCAATATCTTCATGTATGCTTGTCAATTAAAGGTGCTTTAGTCACAAAAATAATGCGATTTTTGCCTCTGATAAAGGTATAAATTACTGACAACACGGATTAATACAAGTATAACATTAATATAAATAGCATTGACTATAGACATGGTGCTACAAAATTTAAACCCGTTTACAGTAAATATTGTTAAATCGTTTTTCAGTCGCTGTAATCGAAATGAATGTAAAACAATAGTATTATTTCAGTGACCGGACATTTACGGTTTCAACAACACCCCTTTTATAAATGAACACAATTTTATGAGACCGCGAAATGACGTGGTTTCATATTTTTCACACACCAGCCTAAATGGGAAAATGGATTTTCAGTTTGGCGGCAGGCCAAGCCTAAATTGTTTTTACGATTTCTACACAGTATGAAAAGTATTTAATCGTAATGCTTATTGTTAAAAGGTCAGTGAACTGAGTGTAAAGAATGTTCTGTTTAAAACAATCACAGTAGAGTTCTTTACTACAAAGTGGAAAATCTTTGGGAATTTGGCTAACAATTATTATGTTTACAATTTTGTCTTCAATGTCATATCAAGACGACAGACGATTACTAAACAGCAACCAGCAGTACCTTTTTTGAGAAATATTTGGTATTAGCAAGATATTAGCGAGAAAAGAAACTAAGACTAGAATGTTAAGTTGTGCTTACCGTATGGAAGCCATGAAGTCGAGGTGTTTGTTCTCCTCCTCGAGCTGCGCCACGCGTTGCTCGGAGGCCTGCAGGTGTTGCTGCGCGGCCGCCAGCTCGTCCCGCAGCCACGCGTTCTCCTGGCACAGCCGTCGCACCTGCGTGCGGAGCTTCTGCTTCTCAGCCTCCACTGATTGTAAGTGGGAGGCTAGCGCCATCATCACCTGGAAGGGAATTCATTTGATGAGAATGTTGTATGGAAAAATTATAAAATACTCCAGATTCCCTAAGTACTACTTACGCTACAAGGATTTACATAGTATTTCTTTCTTGATTTCATGATCTGATTCCAATCAATTGATGCATCTCCCATATATCCCCCAAGCGGTCACCGGTGACCGCTCTCCACTAACTACATTATAGACCTCATTTCCAATGTGTAGAAGCTACTTTTGTATGAACAAATTTAGGGGATGATTTTCAACGGGTTAATAGAGATTTGGAGAGCCAAATGATCAAGATTTAAGTAGGCAAGGAAATCATCTGACTTTTACTTTCGTCTTTCATTCAACCTTTCCGATAACTTTACGGTGGAACCTCATTACCAGTAACTAATATTACCCACACAAACGACAGATTTATCACACAGCTGAAACAAATGCACAAATCGACAAACACATCTAACATCTACTCACAAACACTTTCAGCCCTTAGTAGGGGTAAATCTGTACAAACTTTAGCACTCGTAAATCGCTTTCATTCCCTCAGACAAGCTTTATTTATACACATTTTTTGTAAAGGCTGAGTTTTTCATTAGGAGGGGGAGATGTGAGGTACGTACGGAGGGAGGACAGGAGAGGCAATCCAGACGTAAATAAACTTTTACTGATTAATGAGAGTCGTTAGTCCTACTGTCTCGTCGCTGTTGTCGACATTTTAAATTATGGTCGGTTTCAAATTTAATGCGTGCAGGTATGTCTATTAATTATTTGTATTATAATGTTCATATTTAGTTACTAATTGTGAAATGTTATAGCTACAATTATTTATTTTTTTTGGGATTGATTTCAGGATACAGACGCAGGTGACGATCTGACGAAATGGACGAATGATGATGTGGACCATAGTAAAGACAACAACAAACAACAAAAAATAAAACATGTCATTAAATAAATACAACCATCGAATAACATTTCCTAACTATAAACATGATGCAATCACATTATTGTACCTATATAGGTACAGATGACCACAAAATCGACTGACGAGTGTCGCCACCCCAAGGCTGAACGTTCGTCGCGTCATGTCTGCATCCCTTTGTGTCGAAAAACAAACATACAAGTTCCCACGTCTATCAGGCCGTTTTGTCAAGTACGTGCGGTCTTGTGGTACAAATACCAGAAAGAATTCTGAATAATTCGACATTTCTTAATCAAATGATGACTTGACTAACAGTACCAATGTTGTCTGTTTGCAAGGAACTCAAAAACTACTGAACAGGTTTTATGCGGTTTTAAAGAAGGCTTTCCCGAATGTTTGAGTAGCGCGAGTACAGCCTAGGAGGAAGAAATAGTTATACTTTTAAAACTGGAGATCAGACAACAAAAACAAAGTAGTCAAGATATTTTTTACGTTAAATTCTAATACAGATTATTTTGCTTCATAGTCAATCAGGATTGTGTTCCACATACAATAACAAAGTTAGACAACACATTACTTATTTAGCGGAATTTTATTAGGGAAACAAACTTTTTCTTTCATTGCTACTCAAAATGTCAGGCATAAAATCCTTGGAATTGATCATGGCAGTTTCAAAGTAGGTCAAAGTTATTAGACAACTTTTTATCTTGAGGAGACTATCATAGCTAATTGGATATCTTCCTGACAACTAGAATACAAAAATATTAATTGTAATTAGAATAATCACTAAATATACTTAAATTTTAATATACACAATTTTATTTAAGCATATCAGCTAATATATTTACTGTTACATATGTTGATATATAATGCAATTATTATTTAACGTGTGAATTAAACAAGCTGGTCAGAAACACACTCATATATATTTCAAAAACAAAAGAAGAACTTGCCACAGATAACATAAACATATACAACATCTACCCTTTAATTTTTGACCTTCACAATAACACCGATCAAACAACATTGAATTGGATGTTCTCGAATGCTACATAACAACCAATAATATGAAACCGCTCTCGTCTCCAGACTTGTTCTACCCTCTCAACGTACTCCAACGCAGAAATCTCAACGTCGTCAACCTCACAAGAGGGTGTCGCGTGCCTTTGTGGCTGAATGAAGTACCGCCCCGTGATTCACTCACGCAACTTAATTTTTATTCTGTGGCGTTTTATGAAAAATGACAGGTAAAAATGGCGGGAACTGAGGCAATATGGCGTCGGTTTAAAGGTTAATGCAAGTTATTTATGGAATGTGTTAAATGGAATTAGGTATTGTAGCGGATGAGGCGTGGAACTCCAATTTTTCTGTACAATTGTATCTGCCTAGCCTGTTTTGTTATACAAGCCGTACAAAAGAAACCAGTATTATAGAACGCAATTGGTTTGATTGAAAGAGATCACTGATAGCGATAAAGCTGTCTATTGTGGAATACATTACCTATGTATTTTCTATTCATCTTTATTTATTTGATGTTCAATAGAGTGAAGATGTTGTCTGAGAGATGAAAGGTTATTTTCCAAAGAATGAATTATATATGTAAAAGTGTTGTGTAATTTAGTTTAGAAGTTTAATATATTTTTAGTAATAAAACGTTTTAATTCACTTATTATTTAAAAATAATCTCAATCTAATTAGAGCATCTGCAATCTCAAGCCTTTCGACTTCTAGATTTATTTAATCAAACATTTTACGGATTACAATCAGAGTTAACACAAATATTTGTAATTAAACTGCTTTTAAAATAAAGCCAACAAAGCTAACTGGATTTGGAATTCAATCAAGAACAATGAACTTTTACAACTGAAGAAATCTTGTATTTTAATGTAATTTTATTGTAACCCAAGATGTTGTTGCTTGTATTTATTACCTATACTATATTTTTTTATCTGATTTCAAGGTTTTTCTTCAAGGTTTTATTGTAACCACTTCATGTCAATAAGTCTAATGTAACTGAAGGTTAAATATAAGTCATTAGGGGATCAATTTATTTTACGCTTAAATCCTTTGTACTTCAAACATCCTTTGTATGTACGCACAAATGAAAATAACTCAAACTTATTTACCAAATATACAAAACACAAAATATTTCAATATTTTTCCTTTGCCAGAGAGGCATTGCGATCTTTCACAAAATTGAACTGAAAACGTTAAAAGCAAAACTGTGAAAGCGCTCTTCGACATTTTGTTTCTAAACTTTCCTTTTACACGTTAGGTGTTCTATTTTATAGAGTGGAGCCCTCGAGGCGGGCTGGGTGTGACCTAAATGATGCTCTAACGGGGAGTCCTTAAAGGCATTCAGCGAATCTAGGCTACCCGGAGGCTGTTTGTTTTAAATCTCTCAGAACCCAGCCTTTTCATTTATATGGATTTTTCAAAGACAGTCCCGTTCAATGACTAAACTCTCGACCTCTTTTTCATAAGTTTTTAGATAAAAGCAAAATATTTTATCAAAAGAAAAATGTTGTTTAAATTCTTCAAAAGCAAACTCAAAAGTTGTCTGAAAAACATGTTCTTTGAAGAAAATATTAAAGAATATCTTCTATTTGTTAGTTAGCTACTACTAAGCCGCTAGCGTTTGATCAATAGTTCTTCACCTCAAGCTTCGCGTGCAACCTTACCTACATGAAAGCGTGTCGCTTATCTAGATAAACGTTAGCAATTTTCACGGAGAACTAATTAGGAGATTTCTTGTGAAAATTAATTACCGTACGTTGACTTTGAGGTTCCAAGTTCAGGCTTGAAATATTCCCTTTACTGAGCTGTTAATCACGAGGCAGTGTATTGAATAGTACCTAATGTAACAACATCCGTTGAACAGATGTAACATACCACAGACCGCAAGGACCTCACGCCATGCTAAGACATGTGTTTAGAATCAGAAGCCTGCACGATCACGTTTGTTTACACGAAGAATTGCACGTGGAAATCATTTGCTGTATTAATTTACAGACAGCATATAAAGCTAACTGAAGCTATGTAATAATTTTACAGATTTACAATCTTAACTCATTACAGCTTAGGTTGAAAATTTAATAAAGAATTTTGTTAACTTAGCGGCGGTTGATAGTCTTGCTGGTATTACTAATTTGTTAAGAAAATGTATGTTGAGTGAATGGTACCTACCTATAATACTATTTTACTTGCAAACTGAGTACAAAGAGGTGTTGCCGCAATTCATACAACGGAAAACGCAATAAAAACGAAGCTTGTATTTGGTTACGGGTTAAGTAAATGAATTGCAAATATTGGGAGTTAACACGAAATCGTAAGTAATTGATTTAAAGATGAATAACATCCGTTACCTACTGAAGTCGGTTAATCGATAACTCAGAGACGTGTTAAGTTAGTTTGAAGCAAAGATGTACCTACCTCGATATTTTCTAATATTGTTTGTTTCAACAACGTACACATTTTAGTAGTGATTCCTTAAGCTTAACGTCATTCCCTTAAAAGAACGAGCACTTCGAACACAAGCAGACATTACGTTTATCTAAAAGCTGTTACTGTGCCAAATATAGGTAGATACTTCACCCTATGTGGAGATTTGGCCGAGATAAACAGTAAAGATTAGGTAGACGTGAAAGAGATTGCCACTTGAAGAAGGGGAAATATATGTAGACAGATACAGTGTAATAATGCGTTTAGGAAGCTGTTGATGCTTTTAGATTAGGTACCTACTGTAACGAAAATATTGAGACATACGTAAGTCTTTTAAAATCAATCATCATTGTATGAAAATTAGCGACCATTGCCTCCTAACACCTCATTTGATCATTCCTCAAACAACATCCGTCGTTTCTTTGATAGTCGTCCTAACATTTACCATCAAAGATAATAAATCAAGTGATAAACTAACCTGCGCTTCACCCAATCCGAGTTCAATAGCATCAATGCTCTTCCTCACGAGGGCTGCCTTCTCGTGTTCATGTTCTGTGTTAGCAGCCAGCCCGGCCAGCAGCTGTGCATGCTCAGCTCGCAGCGCCTCGAGGCCCGCGGCGACGGTGCGTGCACCGGCCACCATTTCCTCCTGCGTCATCGCCGTCATCCTGCCTAGGGATTCGATCTTCTTTCTGTGAACAAATGAAAATAATATTAGAACTGATGGTAGAAATTTAATGTCTTCCGAAAGATGGCATCAATATTTGACAATATCTATAAGTTGTGTTTTCATGATAAATTCTCAACACACGTTGTATATAGTACAGCCTGCTCGCTGCCATCGCAGCGGTAAGTCCCCTCTTTGAGGAGTGGCTTGAGAGACGCTACGGCGTCCTCACCTACCGCCTGACGCAGGTCCTCACCGGACATGGGAGTTTCGGGAGGTACCTGTGTCTGATGGGGCGGGAGGAAACGTCCGGGTGTCATCACTGCGAGGACCGCCCTGAGGACACGGTGGAACACACTGTCGCGGAATGCCCTGCGTGGGCTGAGCACCGCCGTGTCCTCAGGGAAGTGATCGGCGATGGCGACCTCTCGCGTCCGGGCCTAGTGCAGGCCATGATGCGGAGCGAGGGGGACTGGGATGCCGTCTCCTCCTTTTGCGAAGCAGTCATGCTAGCTAAGGAGGAGGCGGGACGCGTGAGGCAGCGAAGCGCTGCCTCCTCGCAACCCAGCCATCGCGAAGGACACACCGGGCGTCGGGGATCGCGGGACGATCTCCGGCCACCGTAAGCGCGGGCCTGCGGACGGCGAGCATGGGTGGCTCCCCGTCCGACCAGAAACAGACCCGAGCGTACGGCGCGTCGCGTTCCGCGCGCGCCTCAAAGAGCCATCAGACCACCACAGATGGGGCCTAATAGGGCCGATGCCGATTCGGAGTCGCGGAGAACCTAACGGGTAACCGGGGCTCCGGCTCGACGTGCAGGAGAAGGAACGGGGTGGTTTTTAGTCAGTAAGAGTCTGACACTCCCTCCCGCCTCACCCAGGCGGGGGCAGTCATTCGATGATTTTGCCCCCTTAAAAAAAAAAAAGCCTTGTAATATCGTGGTCTCGACACATTAGATTATTTGTCATCGTCTGACTATGACGACGCCAACGGTCTAAATTAAAATGTCTTGGAAAACTTAAATCGTGTCCCTGTTCACTAGCAATCAAATGATAATGTCATAATGGAGGTTAACCAATAAGTTTTGAAATCAATGTTAAGGTTTTTCGAATCACCCTCAATGCTAGGAACATTGAGGGTGATTCCACCAGTCACAAAGCGATGAAAATATTGAATTAAACAGATTGATTACGATCAGGTTGGCGCTACGCTATCAAGAAACACATAAACTGGTATCATTTGCGTTTGTTTATGGCCGTTTGTTCTCAATTCAATAGAATCGGGCCATTCATTATGATCAAGTTGAACTCGATACTTCATATCAGTTTCTATGGGTTAATTCTGTTAAACAATGACATTGCACGTAATGATTACGGTAATGAAGACTAATGTCTCAATGAGATGGCTGATTCAATCAGAATGCGGCCATAATGACCTTATTCAATCTTGGGTGTTGTCGTGAAGTTTGCTGCCACTGTCATTCGGGCTCGTTTGTCTTGCTTTGTTTACAGAGAAAGAAACATTAGCTCTAAACTAAATCAGGCACTTCATTTAATCAGTGTCTTACATTAATTTGGCTGAACGTGTTTATGTGATAAATGTGAGGTACAGAGCATAAATCTAGAGAATGTTAGAAATCTAGAACCAAATTAACACAAGCTTTCGAACTTGTCCATTTAGTCTGCCCTGGTATGATTGCATATTTCAGTTCCTGTATTACGAGGAGTCCATGCACAACGGAACCAATCCAATCACAGCACCGTGCGAATGACGCCATGTTAATTTACATGCAAAACGTTTCTCTTTCCTCCATCACTTTTTAATAGCAACCCACTTCATATGTGACCTAAAAATCAATGTTCAATTTCCTATTGCGTACGTATTCTGACAAGACAATACATGACGTAGATACGCAGGGAGCGGGACATAAAACCAATATTTCAAAAGGGGATCTCTGAATCCTTTTTTCAACCCTTTTTAATAAGGTAGGTGCGTGGGTGGATGTTACGCAAAATTTTATAAAAATATACATTTCGATTTTTGTTATCTAAATGGAACAGCTATATACTGTTGAAGTAAATAGATTACTGTCTGTTACCTATACCTGTCTTATAATATACTTTGATGAGATCGCAAAGCGTCTATAAGATAATCTCAATGTTGTGCTTGAGTTAACTCCGTTGAAGCTAATCATTGGAATGGAACAGGTTCGATACATTTTCGACACAAATCATAATAAGGATTATATTGGCCTTGGTAGAAATCTATGACAATATTGTTAGGCGTGTTTTCACAAATACAATACGATTTACGCCTTCCACGTCTGTTGTATTACCAAAACACGAGCAGAGAATATATTACTCGGTAAATTAATTTCAGTAAACAGCTAGGTAAACATTTATGTATAATATAGGTACCAAGTTTTATATGACCTCTTCTCTCTACACTTATCTAATTAAAGACCCCGCTGTGCATATTTAAACTGTACAACAAAGTCAACACCGGGTGGCTTGCGGTGACCTTTTATGACATTCTATTGATTTGATACTAAAAATAGTTTATAACTTACATAACTAACAACTCTGTGGACTGGTTACTGTACTATTAAAGCAATTTTAAACTTCTCAAAATATAGAAATAGTAATAAATTATTGAATGACAAATGATTAGGTCACGTGTCTAAGGGTCATAGATCTGAGTCTAGAATACGTAAATTATAATCTACTTACGCATTGTATATTCTACTTTATGACCTGGAATTTATGATTTATTCGTTCGCTTTTATAAGGAAGGAAATTGGTGTTGAAAGTTGTTACAAATCTACGTATTGATATTATATCTTTTCTTTTGGTTAATAACCGTAAAGTATAAAACATTGATCGTTGTAAGTCTATTGTTGTTTCAGTACGTCCTAGATAGTGCCACATATCTATTGTTTGCAACCCAGCTCAAACTAAGTTGGAAAACCTAATTTACATGATATGGAGCTTTAAACTGTGGAAACTTCGAAATTCGTCCTTATTTATAGCAACTCCTTTTTAAGTTGGAACATATGCTACTAGTCATATTTAAACATGTAAGAAATACAAGTAAATAATGGCACTCTCTACATTTAGAGTATAATAGAAGCATTAAACTTTCCAAAACGACTTATTAAAATACTTTAGCAATTTAGCCCTTCACTCAAACGTTAAATACTTTCGACAAACCACGAGGGCATCATAACCGGCGGTATCGCAACGGAAGAGTCACATTACCGCGCCCACTTTCGACACGGCTGCCAAACGCAATGGGCACGCAGACCTGGATGTGACGACAGAGGGGTAGGTCACACGGAACAATACGTGAGAAGCAGACCAACACAACAGGAACCAGGTTTCGGAGAATGAATGAGATTTGCTCCAACAATCACCAAACAGACTGGCTCGTTCATCGACGGCGATCGATACTACCTACCACATTGTAAAATGCTTAATAAGAACTGTTTCCATAAAAAGTTATCGTTTCGCAGCTCCCAAGAGGAAAACGTATTAATTTTATTTATGAGCTTGCGAGTAAAATGGTTTTGGTACTACTGATACAATTTCGCAGTTCATTGACGATGTAATCCAACGAGAATTACATGGGAAATCGAAAATACGTTTTTTTACTACGTCAGGCGAAGGAGATGAATGTACTTCAATGTACCAATCGTGGACCGAATAAAAATATATTACTTCTACTTTATTCATGTCATTCCTAGCACACATCTAGAGAAGGCGTCAGTGTCGCTAATGTTACTTTTTCCTTAGATTGAAAATACTGAGTGACATTTGAAGGCCCATTTCCGAGCAGCGGAGACGAGACGATTACGTCACGAAATATATTTTTAATAGAACACGAGTTGGAGCCTGAGTTTTATCACCATTTACGTAGAATTTCTGTCAGGGAATGGAGCACCCCATATTTTTCTGTTCAGTATACAAGGCTTAATAGTCCGGTCAATTTAGACATTCGAAGTTACATAAAGTCCCAACAAGCTGAATTTTTGTGAAGTTGTTCAAAATATAATTACAAACAATGTCTAGAAGTTCCCCATCATTCCCCTGTAAGGAAAAAATTTAATTCAAGGTCAAAGGTCAAAAAAATGAGTTTTTCGCGATTTTCAGCAAAACGGTAAGTTTTATCATAAAAGTACCTCAGACAAAAATTGTAGATCATAAAATTATCTATAAAAAAGTATTAATACTTTTTTCTTACAAGCTATCGTTTCTGAGATATAACGATTCTAAAAGTTATAAAAGTTGTTATCGTCATAATAAATGCACACGTTTCCACGCCACCTATGAGGTAGTGTACTTAGCGCGTTTTTGTTAACGTTATTTTCCCAGTAGGCCACGGGTCAGTTGTGATCATGTTTAATGTAAAACTATTGCAAAATAACGGAATTTTTTAGAGATTGGGATAAATAAAAGCGATGTAAATGAAAAAAAGGGTTGAAGTTTATTCGTAAGTTTCAAATTCTTGTTCTTCTTCTTGTTCTTCTTCTCCTACTACTTCTTCATCTTTATTTTGGATGCAAGTAAATTGCGTCAATAGCGATGTATCGCATGATACTTCGTCGGAGTCAAACGTATCCTCCATTGTTTGTGATTCAATATTAGAGCATGACCGGCCTTGACAATTTGTGCATGCCAAAGAACAAGACAGTCCGACTTTTTTGCAACCACATTTAGCACTGCATCCCTTTTTGCAGTTGGAAAAAATAGTATTCAGCAGTTTTTCCGGCGCAGGTGGAAGTAAAGTTTGAACTGGCTCTAATATATTGTTGACCAACTTCCAACCCCAGTCTGTAGCGTCTAGCTGATAACCAAGCCACACTTGAACTTAGTAATATACTTGAAGAAGATGTTGGTAAGTAGCAACTGAGGTTGGAGGAAGACAAGCTAATTGAACTTGTTTTTTATTTTTAGTATTTTTAACGAAACATGCATATCGATGTTTATCTAAACAGGTAGTTTTTTTAGGAATATATATATGTATATA